GTAGTTGATGTTGTTTATATTGCCTCATCGTTGTAGCGACGAGGTTGCAATAAACCAGTCGTAGTCACAGTCACAGCTAATCTTGCAACACAGTTGCGCAACAAAGAATCCGAAACAACGGTACTAACGTGTTCCATTGTTGTTGTTGCTGTTGCTGTTGTCGTTGTTGGAAGTTGGAAGTTGCTGTTGCTGGCTTTTCATTTGTTCTTCTGGCCGGCCGTTGGCTGTGGCCCGTTGTTACTGCAAGAAGCGGCCAAAAGCAGCACAGAGCCACTTGCGTGTAACAGGTTTTTCCTCTTGAATAACTGGGACTTTCTTACGGGACTTTTGCGATGCCAATGTGTGTCTGCCTCTGTGTATTTGTGTGTGTGTATCTATGTGCGCGTGTGTGTGCACACACAAAACAGGTTAGAACAAGAAAGACTGCAATAGAAATATTGTATCAACAGCAGCATTTACTAAAAACAGAACTGCACAGAAGAGACGAAGGCGTAGACGATGAAGAAAATGATGGAAAAGAAATAAGAAGAGGAAAACAAAAAGTCGGTAAAACGGTGAGGCACACATTTTCACGTTAGAACGGCGCTTTCAGGCAATAGAACCCGATCCCAAGCCCAGCCAGCCAGCCCCAGCCAGCCATCGACTCGAACCAGTTAGCTCTTGATGGCTCTTGCGTAAGAATAGCACGCTCCGAAACCAACACAAATATATTTAACATGATTTCAGCAACGGCAGCTTTGAAACATGATTTATGTCGGCGCTAGCCATCCGTCTCCAGACTTTGGCCCACTGGCTGATAACGTTATTGGTCGAATTAAGGTTTGTTCGCTGAATAATGCCGTTGCAATCGATTTGGCGAAGGGCTCAATACGCTGCTTCACTTCACTTCAGTTCCGATTCTGAAGAGTACTGTAACTATTTGCAGTTGTGTAACGGCTATTTGAGTCGCTTTCGGGTATATTGGGCACATTTTTCTCAAACAGTTAAGATCTCACACTCTTAGGTCCACATCTAAGCTTCTGGCAGAACTTGAAGAAGAACTTGGCTTTGTAGCAATTCTTTTTGCATTATTATCTTTAGACACGTATTTATAGCGGTGTGTCACAGAAACTGTTAACAACGTGAAGCTAAATGTCGTTGCCAATTTGGCAAAAGAGAAAATGTTGACAACAGTTGGTTAGTCAGACATATACTTGTATGTACTCTAATTTGGGTATTGCAATTCCTATTTAAATCCATTTTACATACAATTTATTACAAACTAAACATAGTTCGCACATGTTGGCAGCTCCACAAAAGATTTAGGCTATTGAAGCTATTAGCAATATACATCTTACGAATTGCGAATTGAAAACAAAAAAGCAACAGAAGATTACAGTGTTGAACCAAAAAATGTTTGAGTTTGTTAATACTTTGTTATTGCCAGAGGTTATGGTCAATATTCGGGAGATAAAAGCCATTTACTAAGTATGTATGTATGTTTATGGATAATTGATTTTAACAATATTAAACAAAAAGTTATTACTGTAACACCTTAGGCTTATCACAAACCATACATACCTTCATTATTTCATATGTGCAGTGGCCATAACAATAATCGGTCCAAAAGCTAATCTCAGTAGAATAACTTTTCAATTTATTAAGTTATCTCTTTTACTACCTCACCATTTTCTGAAATGGAATCTGCACATTATAGGAACTACGCTTATTTACAACGATTTCGTAACCACAATTGGTATTTGCGAATATTTTTTCCACCTCATTTTCTGCATTCCTACATTTTCTACAGAGTATACAAGAGTCGGGGTAATGCTAGTTAAACAGCTTACTCGTTTTCATTTTGGAAGGTCGGCTCGAGTGAGCAAACATGTTTTTGTTTTTACAAAACAATTCAATACATAAACGGAAAATAAAATAAAAACTTAACTCTAATAAAATGTATATCAAGTAAAATATTTCTAAAATAAAACTGAATTTGCTTGGGGAATTTTTTGAAAAAAGAAGAATTTAATGTATTTAGAAACACTGATGAAAAATGTTTGAACTTAATTTTTCTTAACTTGAAAAATAGTTTGATTTTTTGACATTTTTTACCAGCAAAACAGTATTAATAAATAAATTATTAAGCTAAATACATTTAATTGTAAATAACGAAGAGAGCTCTAGTTGATAATTCAAAAGCCTATCTAATTACAATTAAATTTTAAAAAAGAATATTCCCATTCATTCATCAATTTCATTTCATTTGTTATTTTCTTGCCAAATGTTAATTACATTTTGAATTAAAACGTTGGCTAAACATGTTTAATTTTCATTTGTATGGGATTTCTTTCTCAACTGAATTAAAGAAAAACCCAACACTTTTCACCACTCGAGAAAATGTCCCACCAGCACAGACACAGACACACACACACACACACACAGCATGCCGCTCACATGTTCAAAAGAAAGAAAGAAAAGCGCCACTGGGCTTAAGGGTGGGAAAACTGCGCAACAATGCGGCTTCCAGTTTTCCTGGCTATGCACTTGGCATTATGCCTACTAACCCTATTTTGATGCGCGCAAGTCCTATTTAGCTTGCATGTGGCACACAAACACAGGCACGCTTGTAGACATGTGTGCAATTTTCCAGCAGCGAACAGGCAGAGTCTACGCAAGTCCTTTTTCTAGCGACATCGACTGAGACGGCGACGACGACGACGGCAGCGATGCCATGAAAAGCAGCTGAGCGGAGCAAACAAGCACACAGACATACACACACACAGACACACACACAGACACACACACAGACACACACACACACACAGGGAGAAGCACAAATACAAGTGCGAGTACGTGGAAACTGAGGGCAGGAAAGCCGAAAGGCGAAACAGAAAGTTTTTCGCTGCCCGCACGGTATCACGAAATGTGTTTCTAGCACTCGAATTGGGGACACATTCCTGCAAAGGACGCGTTTGGGGAATACCGTCGTGAAAAGGAAGCGCGCGCGCATGCAAAGTGCATTACAAAACAAGAAAAAAGAAAATGGAAATGCAAGTGCAAGTGCAGTGAAAATAAAAGACCCAACGAATAAGCCAAATCACAACAATCCCAGCAATAATGTGAAGTGTGAAAATCGAATGTGTGCTGTGCGGCCAACAAATAAGGCGACTTTTCCAACTGACAATCGACACTCAGGCACACTCAGTGCAGTTCCAATAGTGCAATAAGTGGGCGGCAAGTGGAAAATGCGTTTGTGGCAAAGAAATACAAACTATTGAGTCTGTCAATGGCTATTAATTGCCAGAACTAAAAGGGTTCGGTGCTGTTCAAACTTTGTGCCACACATACTGCTAAAGCAGTCCAACCTAAATCAAAACGAAATGGAAAGCGTTGCACTACATCGGTGTGTGCGGGCGTGTGTGTAGTCGTGTGTGTGTGTGTATGTGTGCGCGTATCGTGTGTGTGTGTGTGTGTGAGTATCGATTTGCATGTGTGCGCGCGAAAAATCGATTCAGAAAGCCACTGGCAGTGACTGCTTTCTGGCCAGCTGGTGGTAGTTATTATTATTGTTGTTGCCATCGCACGGTGGTGGCAGAGGTGGTGGCAGAGGTGGTGGTGGTGGTGATTTACTGTGCAGTTGCAACGGCAAGGGCTGCTGCTAGGGTTGCGTGCCACAATGTGGGAAAACGGCGACACACTTCCAACTATTTTGACGTACAACGGCAGCCAAATTCCAATGGCTGTGCCAGCCCCTTGCAGCCATCCAGCAGTAGCAGAGGCAGTAGCAGCAGCAGCAGCAGCAGCAGCAGCAGCAACAAAAACAGCAGCAGCAACAACAACACGGACGCTGCAAAATGTCAGTGCATGTGCAGCGCCAGGATACGACTGTGAATACACACACACTCGGCCAGGAAAAAGTAACAAAGCCAGTGCCAGCGCCAGTGCCTGATTCAATGCAGCAGCCAACACACAGAAAGAAAAATGCGAGCGCACAAATTGCAACTTCAGCATATTGTTGCACCTCAATCAAATCAGTGAAAACATGCTCGGCAATCGTGAATTAAATGAAGCAAGTCACACGAATCTATTGTGCGACTGATTGTGTGCAACGATAATACAACATTTAACAAATAATTGTGGCCAACAAACTCTAGGCTCAGTCAGCCACGTAACGTATACGTACTCGTATTTTTCCTGACAGGCTCGCATGTTGAGTATCCGACGCATATTCCAGCTGCCATGCAGCAGCAGCAGCAACAACAACAACAACAAGAACAAGAACAACACAACGACAGCAACCTGCGCACACACACAGGTGTACTCCGGATCTGTATCCAACAAAAGATAAAAAAAAAAAACGTAAACTAAAACTCGACAAATTAAAAGCAATTCGATTATGTGTAATATTTTATAATTCGTACACGATTTTAAGTGCACTTTTGTAAGGCTGATTTATCCATTTATTTAATGTTGTGCTTCTACACTAAAGAAAAAAAAACCCAAAACAAATAACAAAATATCAACAACAACAACAACAAGTGTGTAATTTACAATGAAATGCATTTTCGGCTTGGTTTAATTGGCAAACGAGAGGGCGATACGATATACTCTAATATTAACGATAATTTCAATAATTTTTAACGGCAAGTGTAAAGCTATACATAAATATAAAGTATACTTAATTAAGACAAACAATATATACATACATATATACTTCAATATTATACATATTTAGTGATGTAAATATGGAGCGCAACAGGAAGTAGAATGTCAGCTGAAAAGCAAATTTAATAACAATTTCAAATGGCAATTTGACAATGCAAGACGCACAAATTATGAATAATACTTTACACCACAAAGCGAACAAACCATTGAAGACTGTTTAAAACACCAAGCGACAACGGAAGCAACCAAACAAACCAACCAACAAACAAACAAATTGTATTACCAATCACGAGTTACCAACGCACAAGCGCAGTTTGAACTTAACCCGAAGCGTTAGCAACAACCGTCACAACGGATAGGCCAAGAGATCTCCTGCTGATACAGCAGGCAGTGCCCGTTGGCAGAGCGACTGTGACGCAGGCAGCGGGCGCGCCAACAACAACAACAGCAGCAGCAGCAGCAGCAACAGTTGTTGCTTGTACAGCGACAGCAACAGCAACGACAACAGCAACAGCCACAGCAACATTCATAGATGCAGATGCTGCAACAGCAGCAGCAGTTGCAAACCTGCGCAGTAAGGTGCCTTCGATATCTATAATACCGCTGCCAGCGTCAACGACCATTGTGGCCAAGGCATCAACAACGCCCACGCAAGTATCGCTGGCTCCCAGCTGCCTGATAGCAGGAGCATCCGGCAGCATAACCAGGCCCCACCAGCAACAGCAGCAACAGCAACAACAACAGCAGCAGCTACTGCAACAACAACAATCGCAGTCGCAGTCACAGTTACAGCCACAGCTCACAGCTGTGCGAAGCACCTCAAACAAGGCCACATCCCCACCATTTGCTTTCCTCACAGATATTGCCAGCAGTGGCGGGAACAGCACGCTGACGTTGGTGCGCAGCAACAACAGCAACGGCAGCAGCAACACCCTCGCCTTTGTCCGCCCCCCACAACAACATCAATACCAACAGACCGACAAGTGCACCGTTCTGAAGTTGGCAGCGGGGTCTGCCCTGCCCCCAGTGACCACCTTACGGAGTTTGGCTCAGGCAAGCGATGGGGACGGATCGAGTGCCACCACCACGTACCTGCAGATCGAACAGCAGCTCAGCGAGCTGGAGGCTGTCGATGAGGACGAGCATATGGCCACGCTGCTGGGCAGTGCGCCACCTGCACAAATACTGGCCAACCAGCCCATTATTGTCAAGCTCGAGCCCACGCAGTCGTTTCACATTGTCGATGAGCACGACACTCGCGTCCTCAGTCTGCCGCTGAGCGATGGCGACAAGTTGGGCGCCAGCTGGATCGATCTGAAGGATATTGCCGGTCTGCAAACGGGCAGCGGAGCAACACTGCTTGACGTCTGTTTCGAAGCCGCTGAGGGGGACGGCGAAGGCGAGGAGCTCAACAGCAGCAACATGGCCACCATCATTGCTATGGCACCAGCGGCGACAGCATCAGCAATGGCTAACATGGACTCGCCAGAGCAGGTCGAGTTTGTGGAACAGCTGGCTGAGCCACCACCCAAGCGTCTGGCATTGTCCCAGCCACATCAGCAGCCCAAGTTCATGTCCGAGCCGCCAGCGCTGGCCCTCTCGAGCAGCTTCAGTAGCCTCAGCAACTTCAGCAGCATCAGCAACATCAGCAGCGTCTGCAAGCACATTGGCAGCAGCAACGAAAGCTCCGGTAGTGGTAGTGGTGCCACCATAACCGGCAGCACAACCGGCAGCAACAGCAGCAGCAAAACCTCCACAGCAACAACAACAAGCCCAGCCAGCGCCACAAGTGAGTCTGCCTCAAAAGCAGCAACAGCTTCCAGCCGAGCTGGAAGCGAGCGTGCCACGACGCCAGTGTCTTTGCCAGCATTGCTGCCCACACAGAAAATATCCGCAACAACCACAACGGCAAGTACGTCTGCAACTGCAACTGCAACCACAGCAACAGCAACAGCGACGCGGGAGTCTTCTTCCTTCAGCAGCAGTACAAGCAGCGGAAGTGGTAGTGGCAGTGGTAGTGGCAGTGGGAGCGCCAGTGGCAGTGGCAGCAGCAACAGCAGCATGGGTGCCATGACAGGTCAGTATTTTATAGATTGGTACTTCAGTGTTTAAGGAAATATAAGAAAACTGATCAAAAGATCGGTTTTTTCACCACAGTTTTCTTTTAAATTCCTAACAAGTGGGGTGAAGTTTTGTAAATACAACAACAACAAAAACTGCAACTACAGATGGTTGGTTTAGAGAAACTGGCATCCAGAATAATACCCTTCTTGACGACTATTTTTTTGAAGAAAATCCATCCTAAATAAGTTTCTGACAAATATAAATTGTTTACGAAAATCAACAAGAGCTGAACTTTTCCCAAAATAGGGATAGAATTTCATTTGTTTTTTATGTCTTTAGTATTTATTTAAGATTTTTCCATTGCTGGTTTAGAGAAACCACCATTAAAAATCAAGAATCATATCGTTCTTGAAGAGAAATAGCAGTAGAAGTCTCGACTAGACACTGCTTTTTTGGAAGAAAATATATTTTACATAAGTTTCTGACAAATATAGATTGTTTACAAAAATCAATAATTTTATTTCATTGCTATTTAAGAAGAAGAACTTAACTTTCCCAAAATGAGGGTGGAATTTTATTTTTTTAAACTCTATAAAATTATTAAATTTTATAAATACTTGAAACTTTGATCATTTCAAAAATTAAAATTCAAATATGAAAGCTTTAATATTTTTTAATTTAACGATTTAAGATAAACAGATCCTTTTATCAGTATGTTTAGTGAATATTTTATTGCCGATAACCCTATTATTTTTTATAATTACTTCATTAAGATACTATGTTGTATCTACAAGATGAACTGCGATTGACTCTTTCAACATTTCGCTTCAAAGATAACAATTCATATTCACGAGTACATTTAACTCAGAATCGCAATCAGTAATGTTTTTAAGTTACACAAATTCAGTTTGGAAATACATAATTCCATTCCTTGGCAATACGTGTGCTCATACAAGCAATGATGTATGCAGAGGAGTGAGAAGCGACGCTGAGGAGTCTAAAATATATATATATAAAATATCTGATTGCTGGCATTCTCAATCAGGCAAACGATTGGGTGTCGGGCCAAAGTAGCGCCGCGACGCACCGGGTCAGGCAGTCGGCCACAATTAACGACATGACACATTGTTGTTGTTGTTGTTGTTGCTGTTGGTGATACTTTGAGAATCATGGTGTAAACAGGTGTAGTGTACATATGTATGTACATGTATGTATGTATGTGTGTGTGTCGTACATCGAACATGGAACACACCCCATGCTGAAGAATTTCAATTTACAAGCGTCGATTTATTGGCTATTCACCTTTCCGACTGCTTGCTAACTCATTCTGCACGCCGTCTGTGGCTCTGTTCTGTTCTCTGGTGTTGTTGTTGTGGCTCTGGTGTTGTTGTCTGTGGCATTGTGTCCCACTTTCCATAGACGATGCGGTGTTGCAGCGCCAACGACGATAACCACTTCTATGATACAGCAACAACAACAGCCTGAAGAAGAAGTAGATGAATACATACGAAGTAGAGGAGTACGAAAGAGAGAAAAAACATGTTTTGACATACTAAATAAGCCGCTTGAGGTGTTCTTTATCATTAGGTTCTGTTAGTTTTGCGATTCTTGCTGCCTCAACATATTCGCTTTACTGCTGTTTGACTCACTTGCGGCACAAATGAGCCGAGCCGAGTCGAGCCGAGTCGAGTCGAGCCACTGCCACTGCCAGAGCTGCGATCCCCCGCCCCTCATCTCCCAATCATACTACCTAGTGGTTGCTCAGCCAGTCGAAGCAACAACCACACCAATAACAACAACTTACCCGTTGCTTTAGCTTTCTGGCACTTGTTCGTGCGTTGTGTATAAAGAAAAAAAAAAATTCTTTTTCTGCCAGAGCGTTCATATTTTTACCGTAGCACGAACCTTAGCGGTAAAAACGTCAACTACAAACTATACAGTTAGCTGAATGAAGAAGTCAACACACGCACACACACACGAACACACACACACATACTAGGTATGTCACACAGACGCGCCGAGTCGCATTAAAGTCAACTTAGAATAGACATTTGGCTCGATTACAATAGAATTAAGCACAGACAACCACAACCACAACAACAACAACAAAAACAGTGCCAACGGCAATGACAGCAGCTAAGAAGCTAAACACCCAGCAGCTACCGTTCTTATTATTGTTGTTGCTGTTGTTGTCTTGGCAGCAACATTGTCTCGAGGGCTGTTGAAATGAGAAGCGAGCTTAAAACTGATTTACTTATACATACGTGTACGTACAAGTGTGTACATACATACATATATACGCTCGGGGCTGGTCTAGACTCCAGAGGAGTAATCAGGGACGAGTGTGTGGACATGTAAATTAACTTCCAATGAGCTGACCAATGAAGCCAAATATACTCCTCTGCTGAGAGCAATTAACCCTCCCATGGCCATGTTGATAGATTTCGCCAGCAGCAGAAAGTAAATGAATCATGCCGGCCACATGCAGACCTACAAGTATATATGTACATATGTATGTATATACATTTATGTTTTGAAATGTGAGCACTTTAGAAGCGAGCTGAAAAGTTTACTCAATTTAATACGAACTACTGCTGATCGACTCTTTATAAGAAACAATCATTTTTCATCCTTTATTGCTTAACATATAAGGAAGATATTTTATTAATTAAAGATATAATATTAATCCCTACAGAATCAATATTATTGTCATTTATGTATAACAGCTGAAGACTCTAAACATATGTAGTCGATCCATATATAGCCACATACAATGGGCTTCTTCAGGCCAAATTTTAAGTGAGCTCGTATTACAATCAGTTGTACAATTTTTCTAATAATCAAGAAGAGCTAAAATAAATTGGGAAAATGAAAACTCGTTTGCCAATTATATAAGACAACATGTGATTATCTACAACGATATTTTTATATAATTAATTAGCTAGTTCGTTTATTAAGCATTTAACACAATTTATGGTGAACAGCGCGATGTACTTGACTTATTTACCTTGAATTCGTAATATCAGCAATAGTCAAATGCTGATCATGTGGCATGCCTCGCACAGAGCTTGTCCACAACAACAACAATCTGTGCTCAGATCCGCCACAACAGCAGTAGTCCGCGCTGGTTTGCTAAGTAAGCCAAAATTAGCCCATTACACATAAATATTTATAATAGTTTGCGAAAAATAATGTATGAGGAGGGGACTAATAGAAAAGGTTTAAATATAGCGCCCTGGTCGTCGTCATCAACACTATATGCATAAGTATATGGGATGTCCGTCTTAATAATTATAATCACACGTGCATACATAAGCATATGTTTGTATGTCTTTAGATATGTAAGTCTGCGAGTGTGTTGTGGCTTAGCCGCATTCGTTGCGCCGTCGAGATCTGACCCTGAACATGGTCGTTGGACTTGGTGGACCGATCATTTTAATTTTCGACAAGCAGCGCCGACGTTTCGTAACTCCTCAGCCGACTATATTACGAGAGTTGTCCACTGTCTGTGGCGCACTATCACTTTTAGTTTAAAACATTTGTCCAGACATTGCCTTCCGATTTCAAATATAGTATGTATATACAGGGTGCGCCATCTTTTATGTCGCTATGTAAATATTGAATAACTTTGTCATTAGTGAACCGATTGACTTGAGTAGACCAGTGTTGAAAAATTAGTCTGAAGAAATTGTACAGAACCAAATTAAATAAAAATATCTCATGCTTGAAAATCGGTTGTTTATTTTCAAAGATATTCAATGTTTACATACCGACATAAAAGATGACGCACCCTGTATGTAATGTATGTCCGTAAGTATGTATTTGTGGGCTTCATTATAATTTTAGTTCGCCGCATTTCATGCATGAATCTGCTGCTGCTGCTGCTGCTGCTGTTGGCTTTAAAAACTTGTAACTTCGTTCGCTATCATCACATGGGTGATGGGTTTCTTTTTCCAATCGATGGCCATAGTGTTTCATTATCATATTTTTTGCGCATCTATCGCCGCGATTGTTTTCGTTTTGTTCGCGGTTTCATAATGTTCGATTTCAATGCTCATCAGTTTGTATCGTTTATGCAAAATTTATGCTGCCATCTCGGAGTTGCAAGTTCGGCCAGCTCGACAAACAACGACATCCACACATTTCTGGGCTCGCTGCAGAGTTAATTATATGCGTTACACAAAAAGCTTTAGTGACTGGCGTTAAATAAAATAACAAAAATCCATAAATTAGCCAAATATTAATTTATAACACTGCAGCCGAGTGCGCTGCGAATTTAAGCGCGTTTTTTTCACTTTTTTTCTGATTTGGTAAACTGAAAACTGATTGCGAAATACTTAAAGTCGAGTTGATTTTATTATTTTTTTTTTTAAATTGCTCTCTCTTTTTTGTATTAATATTATTATTTTTCTTGTGCTCAGCATTTTGTCTGCAGTAAACTAAATTTAACATTTTTAATTATCGTTTTGCTTTTGTGTGTTTCTGACTCGAGCTTACCTTGACTGTTGGTCAGGGGGATTTTCGTTTTCGCAACACATTTTTAAAACATATACACCGAGATACAAATTTTTACAATAAACTTAACATAAATAGGTGAACAACAAATTGGTTTAATGCATACACAAAAAATTTTTGCAACCATTTCGCCAATGCGCGAAACTGAGGATTTTTTAAACTACTAATGAATTATTGGTTGGCTCTATTTCTCTCATATGCAATCAGCAGGAAATGCTTGCCTACTGAGTAAATGACTGCAAATTGTATTAATTTTGACATTGTCTTTTTCAAATTATTACTACAATCTAATTCTCAAAACATATTTGGACTATTTATTTACATATGTATAAACCAGTTGTAGAATTATGGACAAAAGGGTGTGTAAGTTTTCCTTCTTGTATTGAATTCAAATCAATTTAGAATGTTGAATGCAGTATATGTCAGTTTGTATTTATTTAGATAATCATTTTTTAACTAGGCGTATATTTTTATTTATCTCGACATACTAAGCTATCG